AATCTTATTTCCAACGATTCTCCCTCATCTCGTCAATTTCGTGGAATGTATTAGTTGGTTTACAACGGGTTTATAACACCACATTCAACCAATCAATGCAGAGAAGCCAGGACAGCAAGTCTGAGCACACTCTTGGAAGATGCTACATTTGTTTAACTCACAATTTCCATCCTCGCCTGCCGCCCATCGGCGACGCCTCATCCCGGTCGGCCCAGTTTGTTCATGTGTGCCCCTCGAGAGCACCGCCACAGCGGTGCCAGTGCCACTAATGAAAACGTCCAGAGTGGATCAGAAAATGTTGCCCGCAGACGCTCAGCCCTCTGCCCCTGTCACCGTTGAGATTAGCACCGCGAATGAGAACAGCGTGATGTTTTGAATAAGAGAGTGCTGGGAAATTCATTCGCAAAAATGCGGGCACATCCTGCAGGAGCATGCGTCTGATATGCTAGCATTGTAGACAAAGACGAATGAAGTGCATTGCATTTTCCTGAGTGTGGCCACGGCTGCAAGCCATGGTTAGGACAGGTACATATTCAAATCTAAATTACCCTATCGCTGTGCAGTGTGCAGTGTTTCCAAACTTGGTACCTAATGACAGAAGGCGGGTGAGTGGGAGGCTGCAGCTGCTAGGATACTCCCTTTTTGACTGGCTATGCCCGGCTGGGTGCGCAGTTGTTCGGGTAAGTCGTTCCACAGTCGTGTTGAAGCTGAAACAAAGGCCAGCTGGAAGGGAGTCGTACCACCGTGTGGTAACGTATGTGAGGTGCCATTCCGGGGTGTCCGTTCCCTCTGGCTGGCTTGTGTTGGGGAGTATAAACTGTATAAAGCTGCGTGGAATGCTGGTATCGACCTCAGCTTGTGGTGCAGGTTGAATTTGCGGAGTTCGTAGCTACCTGGCACAATCATCTACCCCGGATCCGGTCTGAGTCGGACGGTCGGTAGTTGAGTTTGCGGAGTTCATGGCTACCCGACACAGTCATCTGCCCCGGATCCGGTCTGAGTCGGACGGTCGGTAGTTGAGTTTGCGGAGTTCATAGCTACCTGACAGTCATCTACCCCGGATCCGGTCTGAGCCGGACGGTAGGTAATTGAGTTTGCGGAGTTCATAGCTACCTGACACAGTCATCTACCCCGGATCCGGTCTAAGTCGGACGGTCGGTATGCGGAATGGTGTCCCCGTCATAAGTCATGCTGCCCCCACTTAAGTACTTAAGTTGGCCAACGTCGTGCGTGGCCACGTGTTCGTCGGGCCCCACGTCATGGGGAGGGAAAAACGGTAGGATGGACGACGCCGGAGTGGGGATTGTCTGCTGATGTACCTTGAAATTGAACGAAGGGAGCTTATTGCTAGGCTTGCCTTCTTAGTTGTTTCATTAATGCGAGTATGACACTTGACGTGCGATAAGATTGTGAATTGGGGCGAGGTCATTTTCAGCTTGTGTGCGAATGTTTGCTGAAGCCAAAACGTCAGTCAGCCGCGTGAACAACGCAAAAGGCTTTGAATTGCGTACGGAATAAAGTCAGGAATCATGGATACGCGCTTGGTAGCTGAGAATGAAGATGATGCGACCACAAAATTCCCCAATGTGATGTCACAGTGGGAAAAGCAGAGAGCGTGAGCTCTGCCTTGAGGGCAGACGCCTTTGGATATTGAGCGTTGTCACTTCACATAAAATCAAGATCGGTGGCAGTGAGTGAGGGGGCAGCTACCGGGGGACCCAAAGCCCTAGACAAAAAACTAACAATACAGCTATGGTGTTGCAATACAGCTCCCCCCCCCCCCCCGATCTCCATGAAGTTTTCACCGCCACTCAATCAAGCGCCCGAATATGACCTTAGGTTTACATGGATACGTTTTACGTATACATTTTGTGTTTTGGATACTGGTACACCAGTTGAGATATGCCCTCTAAACTATGTTGAGTGGAATGATCACAAACAATGAATAAACACCCGGCGTGTGCGAGGGCTCCAATTTGGTCTACGTAATCCTAGTTGGAGTATGCTGCCTTTTTGTACTACCAATTCATTGCTAGATCAGAGGAGTCCGATTTTATTGATCATGTCAGTTTTTTCTCGATATTCTAAGCTGCTCAGATCTTCTATTTGAAGTGGACGTCCTGACGGTACACATACGTCTGAACTCATAAATACGACAGTACTTATTACCTTATTCCTCGTGGAATAACCAGGAGAATGGATAGGTAGATAATTTGTATTTTGGCTACATGCCTTTATCGAAACGAATATCAGCAGTAACAAGTAATAATCAGTAGGAGTTTGTCATGCAAGTGTGGGTTTCAAAGGGTTTTCACGCAAAAAACGTGGCTGACGAAATGAGGTGTAAACCGTGTGAAAAACATGCGAGGAACATATGAGATGTCGGGGAGTCCATGCGCCCTATTCACTCGAAATGTATTGAACATATGCAACACGCTGAAAACAAAAACGGAGTGGCCATTTCGGCGACCATTTTTGACAAAACACACTCAGGCTGAATGTTTTGTCAAAAAAGAAATCCAGGTAGGTACGGACTCCTTAACACCCTTAAGTGCTCAAAGTCATCTGCACAGGACCATCCAGACAGGAAAATATGTGAATCCATTCTTGTAAAAAAGTCGCGACCGAAACTTGACATGCATCACGGCCGATTGTGCGATCGTGTTTTGTACCTCGATGTGTGGTGCGTGATAGCTTAAAACCGTTTGCATATAGGAGTGATAATTAACGCGTGATGCGTGATGCCTGTTTGGTTGAAATTGTTTGCATGTATAAGTGATGCGTGCTACGCAGTGCCTGTTTACTGGATATCGCTTGCATGCTTGAATGGTGCGTGATGTGTGATGCCTGTTTGTTTAAATCCGTTTGCATGTACACCAGTTGTTCGCGTATTTTAATTGTAAGTTGGATGTGCACTGTATCATAGAAGTGGCTCGCAATTGCTCCTTGTTTTATCGCCTGAATATTGGCGTCCTTTAAAAATGTGGCTCGCTGGTCAAAAAAAAAAAAACTGAAAAATCTGTAGGGTCTGCAGGCAATTTTGAATTTACCACTGATATCCGTTGCGATAAAGGCATGTAATCGAAATATCATTGCACCCATATTACGAGGAATAAAGCTATTGGACCTGTCTTATTTATATGCATAACATTCCTCGCAAATGCACTTAGGAACAATTGGCTGGACTCCATAGCTCTCACCCACCACAGTGAAGGAATGCTCTCAGATGCTTTGCTTCTCTCAACATGTGTGTTACGCAATGTTGATGATGCCCTAGTTGGCGAACATGTTTGTGCAGGAAAGTTATGCTAGTTTGAAGCATTTTATAGGGAAACTATGCAAACGATGGGGGCGTAATCATGGAATTCAACGAATCGCACCGAGACTGTCATTGCTCATCCGTGGTGTTTGGCACCACATTGGTCATTCACACCCGTAAGTGGCGGAGTACGTTCTGACCACCACCCTTGAGGTATATAGGGGGCCTGCTTGCGTCTTTAGGCAGCTTTTTCCTTTTTATGCCAATTTTGAACGACATCAACCAGAAATCCCCGCACAGTCACCGAGTCCGCAACGAACATCGCACGTAAATGTTTTTCCTACCCAAGGTAGCTCACACCGGAAATGAAACTCGAGACTACGCAGAAATAAGAGGGTGATGTTGTACTGAAATGCTGACCGTGTAGTTCGGACTGGCAATAATTAGTTTGCGTCAACAAACTAAACTGCATGCGATACCTCGCTTGGGCTGCGCCGACACTCGCGAGCGCCGTTATTAGACACAGCTGCTTCTGAGGTTTCGCTACATTATGTTTTTGAAACATGCCCCAAATGTGGCACACTCCCTGTCCATGGCCCCGCTTTTTTGTAAAAGTAGCTCTGGGCGGACGCGACGGGACGGGAGGATGGGGGTCCGTGCGAAGTTTTGAGGGAACGCTAAACCTAATCGTATAGCCAAAGTGATTGTGTACATCCAACCTTGCTGGCAAATACGTCATCGCTGCGGCTTCATCTTTGCTGTTTGGATTCTCAGAGCAGCGGATGCACTGCTGAAGACCCCGCTGTCTCGGATTGTTTTATGTCCGGATGCATTCTTCATCGCCGCAGCGGTGGCCGACAGTCTCTTCGTGTCCCATTCCAAGCCTTTTGTCCAGATGCCCGCTCGCAAAACCAACACCGCCGCCAAATGAAACTGTCGTCCGGAGCGGCGTGCGCCATAATTCGCCGCTTGAAAGTGACGGCCGCTTCCCCACCCTGGCGCCAACCAAACTAAGCCGAAATGCAAACAGCGATTCGGCTGGTGAACTCAACTCAAACTGCCGTCATTCACCGTAATGGAGCTCGGCTCCCGCGCCGGACTCGCGCGCGCGCGCGCGCCGCCGCCGAGCCGGTTATGAGCGGCATGACGTCATCACGCTGATGAACCGCCGGCAGGCTGGCCGAGAGAGCGGCGCTAAAGTTTTAATTTGACTGTTGATTGATTGTGCCGCGCGTGGCTGTCGCGTCGCCCGCTGCAGGGAGATGTCGGGCCGTCGCTCGAGCCGCGCGTTGGGGGTGGCCCGATGGGCCGGCCATGCCTGCTGGGGTTTGCCGGGCCGGCACGCCATGTGGGTCACACGTGCTGCGCTGCTGTTGGTCTTGTCGGACTAGAGGGCGCCAAACTTTCAGTTGCCGAAAATGCCAAACTTTCAGCTGCTGAAAATGCTCAGCTTCCAGCTGCTGAGAATGATAAACTTTCTGCTCCCAAATTTTCCATGGTAGGGTATATGACATTTGCTTTTATGTATTTGAAGTCTGTTAGTATTATGAAGTCATGCAAAAACAGCCAAATAGAGGGCACTAGCATTTTGCTTGACGTAAGGTTAACGTTATGCAGTCCACTCAATCGTTGAGCCCAGCACAGCCAGCTCACCACCTGCCGGCTGCATTTCACGGCGGCAGCCCGCCTGCGGCCGCCGCGACGCCTACCACAGCAGCTGAGCGTCGGCGCCCTGTTACAGGATGATGTTCGACTTCTCTGAAGACGCGGAGGCGGCGACGGGCGGCGCGTCGCGAGGCGACGGCGACGCCGGCCCGACCCGGTGAGCGGGTGGCGATCGCGCCTCTTCCCGCAGCCGGGGGAACAGTAGGAGGGGAGGGATGGGCGGCGGAGGGCCCCCGGCCGCGCCGACGGGCGGGGCGGGTTGGTGGCACGTGCAGCGGCGCCGCACAGTCGCGGCGAGACCAGTTGTGTGGTGTGGTCAGGCATGTCGGGAGTGGCGTAGGCAACGCTATGTAACACGCGTCAGAGTGGCCGGTTGAATACCCTCCTCTCGGGGTCATTTTGACCCCCAGAGAACTCGGGAACTAACAAAGCTAGATATACCAAATTCACAGGGTGTGTTGGGCTGTACATGAACTCATTTTGGTCAAAGTTTGAGGTTCTTAGGTCATGGCCTTCAGGTCGAATAAGATCAAACAAGGTCAAACTCCAAGCTGGTCTCCAAAGTACCCCTAGAACCTAGATACCTGCTCTAAGCAAGCTGTCACATGCTCATTTAAGATCAGCACATTTCGAAATAAGCACCATGAACTATCTCGTACAGAAAACCCTGGAGGAATGAAACAAGTTGGCTTTTGACCGTGGTCAGATGTTTATACGTGACCCGAGGTCAATGAAATTTATTTATTCCATTGTGGCGTTGCCTAAGAGTCGAAATTGATTTCGCTGAATCCATGGCCTGACTTTGATCCACCGTACGTCAGCTATCCTACAAGGTACATCTAAACTTTTGCTACCAATCTGTTGCCGCAGCAGATTGTACAGTGTTCAATTGTCAATTGAACAACTGAACAGTGTTCAGTTGTCTGCAGCTATGCAGACAATTGAATTGAAAAAAGACAACAAGCAACAATTCTGAACGGCGCGGCTTAGCCGCGCCGTTCGGAAAGCATTCCGCAAAAATCGTGGGGGGGGGGGGTCATATTGATTCCCACCCGAGCGCGTGTCGATATAAATAGTGTAAAGGCACATAATGTGTGGTCGAATTATACATTTTTAAAGGAATTCATATCACGGAAGTTCGGAACATGCTGTGCTTGCAAGCTTGGCCCTCGGCTGGTATTGCTTGGTACGCAATCATCTTATTGTGGCCTTGGTTCTAAGTATGCTGCGTAAGGCCGATAGAGGTCATGGAAGATCGTCACTAAGTCAGTAAACACACGCCCACACTAAGTCAGTACAAGTCGTTAATGTGTCCCTAATTCGTGAAAATGAGTTATTATTAAAAGTCATTAATCTTCATCATGCAGCATTGCAACGTGATGAAAACAAGTTCTCAAGCAGTGTGGAGGCTATATTTATCGTACATTAAGTACTAGAGGTGGATGTCGGTTTTTGGAAAGTGTCATTTAACATTGTTCGACTTATACCCTTGCATCGCCTGGCGTCTATGCCATCGCGTGGTTAGGTAGTTTCAAGCAGCCTGCTGTTTGCGATAGCCTGTTGTTCAATTTTCAACTGCTAAATGTGTGAAACACTGCGTATTCGTCTATGGGTCGGCTTGACCCTGTCCAAGCCCCGGTCTGCACTGACCTTCATTCCGCTCCGCCGGTGACCTGGACCTGCATGGTCCAGCCTACCATCGCACCAGCACGGGCACACTTGTCGGTATCGGCACCGGCCCACGACGCACCAGTGACAAGGGAACTCTGATTGGTTACACGCCCATTGTCCCAGCCCGTGCGCTGGCGGTGGCCAAGAGGCCACTCAACGGGTGTTTTCTCTGACAAAATCCACGGCTATCGAAAACTTAAGCGGACAGAATCGCCCTATTAGCCCTGAATATTGAAGGGGAACGGCGCATTCTCCAGTGGCCATCGGACCAGTCAATGTCAACTAACTCCCTCACCGGTGGGCAGCCTACCACCTCTCGGGCGTGCGCCCTGTGCATCACTGGAGCAGCTCGCTCTGCTCTCACGTCACGGCTGGCCGTGACGCGTCGTGACGCCGTGTGACCGGCCGCCGTCACCGGAAGGGCCGCGCCGGACCCCGGCCCCCGGCGGACACGCGTCGAGCCGCCGCCCGCGCCGCCGATCTCGCCCTGGCGAGAGGCACTCGTCGCCACTTTTGGATCGCTCTCGTACTAAGTTGTCGCGGCGTGCCCACTCGACGGCCGGGTATTAAAAGGCCACGCCGCTGACACGGCGGAGTCCCCGGGGGGCTGGGAGTCGGTGTGGGCAGTCCCATACAAACACGAGTATTTCTCCGCTCATGCCCCCTGTGTTCACGCGCTTGACACGGGACATGACTTACTGCGCATGTTTGACGATCGCGTAGGGTGTAAGAAAGTGGATAATTTTGTAAACAGCCGGTAGCCGAGGTGGCGTGCGTGGTGTGCTCACCTGACGCGTTTTCATCATAAGTTTTCAAGGTTTTAGGGCCGCGTAGTGTTTTCTTTACGTTGTTTTACTTTGATTACGTCCTGAAAGTAGGAGTGTTGCGCTGAAAATCCTACGGCGCATTTTCCACGGCGTCTGTACCGAACGTAGCAGCGTAACCCGGGGTAACAACGCTTCATGTCACTTGCTACTTTGCAGCTTTTCCGGAGGCTTTCAACGTCGCAAGCGATTCGAATCAACTGTTGGATGTAATTGCGTCAAACTCTTGCGTCACCGAGTCTGCCAAGTCGTTGGATGTCCTTTTACTGCCGTGAAGGAAAGAATGCATTGACTTTATCTTTCATGCCTGGGTCAATGGTTGACATTTGCGACGTTGTAGATTTAACCGAGGTTCATTTTCTGATTAGCTTACGTAGACGCAGTTAAAGTTTGAGCCTTGTAACGGGACGCTTTTCCAGGTAACTCATTATTGACTTGGTACTGAAGATAATTCGATAGCTCCCTTCCCCGAGCCGGGATGGAGAGTACTGCGATTGCACCGACGACCCAACTGTGTCCTGCAGGTCGCAGTCACAGAGCCAGCCGGAGGCGATGCAGAAGCGAGAGTCGTCCGACAGCTACGTAGGCGCGGAGGATGAGCCGGCCCAGGGACGACAGGACGCCGTCTCCACGCTCCTGCCCGTCCTCAAAGGTCAGATGCTGACACTCTGTGATTGCTGGATCACGGAGGAGCAGCGCGTGAGGCTCCAAGGCGCATTTTAGCTGTCGTACGCGCGGACACTGCCAACGCCCTTTGCTTATCTTTCATGATTTGCATGCCACACTGGCGGCTCGCATAGGCCGCTATCTGTGGTAGCATCACCGTGGATACTTTTGCCGGTCTTTCGGCCCCTGTCAAAAATCTATTTCTGGTGCGAGTTGCTAGGCGTGTGCTGCGCGAGGAGGCTCCTGCCGACCGGCGCTTCATCACGTCATAGTATGGCGAGCACGTGGCGCACCTGGCGAGGGGGCTGCGATCAGCGGCGGCTAACGTGTGTGGGCGGACACCACCTGCGCGGCGGACACTTCTCCGGTCCGTGTCCGTGTGGCGGCACAGGCGCTGGGAGGTCCGACGGCGCGGCAGCTTGGCCGCCATCTGGCCAGTTTGTTGGCCGCCTGGTGTCCTCCAACCTCACGCGGCCAGGCGGCCCTGGTGGGCTGGCGTGTTGGCCCCTGTCGACGACCTAGTGCAATGGGCGAGTCGCTGCTGTGGCCCTCCGCTCGGTCCGGCCCTGCTGCTCCCGACTCAGGCGCCACAAGGCGGACCGAGAGGCTGGCGGCGGTGCGTCTTCCTGGTGTGCAGTAATGCTTCACAGTCCGTTTAGTCACGGTTTGCGGACAGTGGACACCCGCGGCTGAGCGCCGTCGCCGCCGCCACCATCACCACCATCGCCTCCGCCGCCGCCGGGCGCCATTGTTCGCCGCCGCCAAACAATCGGATGCGCATTTTGCAGCGGCGCAACCTTTGGCCGGGCGGCGGCCGTGATGCATGGGGCGGAGTGGCGGCGGACTTTCCAGTCATTTTTCATCGCTGTCGAATTGGGCCGAGCACGCGGCCGGCTCTCTGCAGCGGCGGAATCGATCACGGACGCCTCGCGCCTTGCCGCCGCGGGCGCGGCTGCCGCCGCTGGGGCCGCGCGGGTTCGGCCGTCGCCGCACGGCCGTTCACGGAACGCCACCGCAGACGTATCGATTGGCACGAGTGGTGCGTGGTAGGCATCCAGGCCGGCCGGTGTCTATCTCTGTGCTGGCGGCCGGGCGGCCGTGCGTGATCTGCGGACCTGTCGGCCGCGCGGCGCCGAGCAGCCGGCCGCCACGCCCGCTGACCTTCGCCGCGCCCGCCCACGCCGACCGACGGCTGCTGCGGCCGGTCGGAAACACGCTGGCGCACGACGCGCCGCGGAGATGAACGCTGGCGATTGGCGTAGTTGGGTTGGTGGACCGGAGACCGAGTACAGGGCGGGGAAGGCTCGTTTGTGATGCGCGGCCGCAGCCGCCGCCTCCGCTTTGCTCGGACGAGCAGACCCGTCGTCTGCTTTAGCACAGCACATTCCACTCCGCCTCAGGGAGGCGGCGGGAAGGAGGGGGGGGGGGGGCGTACTGTCCCGCAGGAGCGACACGCTTCGCCACCTCCACCTCACAATCACTGAATTCACTAGCGACGCTCGCGCTCGCTGGCCGCACCTTGTTTCCGTCGGACGCGCCGCCGTCTGCCCGGGGACGCCTGATCGTCGCGCCGCGCGCCGCATACGGACGAGGCCCGTGCTGCGGTGCCGGGTGGCGTCGACGGCGACGCTGGCGACGTCGGCGCCGACGGCAGCGCTGACGCCGGTTCAGTGCCCCGGGCAAGCGTAATCGGAGACGATGCGCTTTAATTGCTGCTCGCCAGTCATCTTCATATGCGATTGATTTCCCGTGGGAGCGGCCGCCGCCGAGCCTGGCTATACTCGGCTCCAGAGCGGCGCCAGGAGGCCCAGGCGGCAGCCGGGAACTCGGGTCAGACCAGCCGGCGGGTGCCGCTCGCCTGGGGCGGGCCGGGGCGCGACATCCCGGCTCCGAGGGGACGTGGATCCCCAGCAGGAGACACACACGCCGCCTGGGGTGTCGGATGAGGGCCGTCCGCGAATGACCTAGAAGTTGGCCTGGTGTGACCTGACAGTCCGTTTGGCTATGGCACGCGACGTTGCATGGTTTTAAGCTCGGTTTTAGGATGGGAGCTGTAATCAGTGGCTTATAGCTGGGTGTACTGTGTCGACAAGGAACGTGGTAATTGGTACTGTAGGATGTCCCTATCGGGCGCGATCGCAAAGCCGGACAACATACTTTCAGCCACCGGCTCTGCGCCTGCGCATCAGGCGGAAGCGTGACCTCAAAGGGCGGGTCTCCAGATACTGCTGACCGGCTGCTGCTGACTTTACAGGCATGCTTACAGTGGCACAAACAGGGAGGGGGGGGGGGGGCACAGGGGCAGGTGACCCCCGTAGGTTCCGAGGGGCCCGAAGGTCCCCTCGGAACACACGATTAAGAGCCCGATTGGAGGGCCCGAAGAGCCGGAAAGGCCAGCTGGAGTTCTCATTCAGGGACCCGGCCCCCGGCCTAGAAGGCCCGCTGATCAGGGGCCCGCTGAGTCGATAAGGGCTTGTATTTTGGTCAGACACCACCAGTAATGCACAGTCAGCCGCGTGGCGGCATGGGCCCAAGGGTCCATTTCCCAAGCAAGGACAAAGCCGAGGCCAGCGATTTACATAGCTCGGGGCCCATAGCACCTAACAGGGGCCCTGTGTTGTCAAGGGGTCCCGAGTCGGGTAGAGACAGTGTTCGAGGAGGCCCGAAGAGCCTAAAGAGCCCACTGGGTCCAAAGGCCAAGGGCCCAACTAGAGGGTCTAGAGGCATAAAGGGCAGGTCGAAGTATTATTCTGGTGCCCTGACCTGCGAAGAATGACCCTCAAATAACGATTAGAGAGACCTTTGTGCCGATCAGGAACCCCTGAGCCAATAGGGGCCTGTATGTCGGTCAGGTACCATCGTATCACATAGTCGGCTCCGTGTCGGTATAGGCCTGAGGACTCACTTCCCAATCAGCTGTAAAGCCGGGGCCAGTGATTTACACTGGTCTGGGGCCTTGTGTCTGTCAGGGGTCCACAGCGTCTAACAGAGGGCCCTCCGCTTACAAGGGCCCCGAGTCGACTAAGGGAAGAGTTCGATGAGGCCCGAAGGGGAATCCGGGCGGCCCACCGGAACCAACGATCAAGGGCGCGGTTGGATGGCATAATGATCCGAAGGACTGGCTGTAGGTCGCAAAAAAAGTCGCGGCCCGGAGGGCCATGGCCTGTGATATCAGTCAGAGGTCCTATTGCACCGTTTGAGGAACCTCTGAGGCAATTTGGGTGTCTATGCCGTTCAGAGGCTACTAACACCTAACAGTGGGCTCCGTCCGTCGGTGCCCTTGAGACCCGTTTTCCAAACAAAAACGAGCCCCGGGTCCGCGATTTGCAATGCTCGGGATCCCTGACATAATGAGGGCTCCTGTGTCGGTTCGGTCGGGGGGCCACGGTACCGAACAGGGGTCCTTTGGAGTCAAGTGACCCCGGGTTGGAGCGGTGTTTGAGGGGGTCTGAAGAGGGGCCGAAGGGCCTCTCGAAACCAAAAATCAAAGGCCCGATGAGATGGTTGAAGGGGCAAAAGAGCTCCCAGCGGATCACACTAAGGATCCCCCCCCCCTCCGTGATCCGCATCGCATAGTCGATCCGGTGGGACATAATCTCGAATGTCAGTCAGGTGATGTCTTGCACCTATAAGGCCTCCTGAGACAGAGCGTTCCTGTACTTCGGCCATAGATCACGAACAACGAGCAGTCGGTTCCATGTTGGTCTGAGCTCTAGGGGCCCATTTCCCACGCAAAGACAAGGCCGGGCCCGCGATTTACATTGGTCGAGCTTCTGTATCGCGGTCATTCTGTGTCGACGAGGAGCCTCGAATCGGCGCTGAGCGCGCAGCAACGACCATCGTAAAATAATGTTTCTGAATGTCTCAAAATGAATTCGTACAGTTCAAAGATTACGCTGGGCGAATCTTTTTTACAACTTTGAGGTTGTCCTCTGGACATATTAACAGTTACAGCAACACGGAAATTATAGATTTTACTTTTGCTCTTCCAGTTCTACCATCAGACTCCTCCAGCACTTCGCAGTGCGGGAAAGACAGATAAGTTATTGCCATCAATCTAAAACCGCACGAGTGAAATATGCGCCCGGAATATCTCTGAATGTACGATGTGGTGTCCAAGATCGTTCAAAGGCATTTCTCTCAGATGCGTCGCCATTTTTGTTCACCTGTTGGCCACGGCCTAGTATTAGCCGCGGGACCAATGCTGTGCAACTTTAGGAGACTTTAACGCCGGACGTCGAGTCTTTTTTCGTTACCGAGATATGTGAACGCTCATACTGAAAGCTGCGCTACATAATTTATGTCACTAACCAATTCTGACTGAATGTTGAACATATCCAGACAAGCACGGCTTGACCATATTAATGCAAATTGTTGACCGATTTTGATCTTCAATCTACATTCACGGAATCCTTGCTATCTCTGTACGACCCAGAGGAAAATTCTGACAAAGTTTCTGAGTTCTATCGGCTTATAAAGAGTTCACTAGGCCAGTGCAAAATGAAGAGGCCAGTGATCTATTTCATGCAGTCATTTAACGCATGATGTTTTCAGTTTATTTACCGTAAACTTAGCGCATATATATATATATATATATATATATATATATATATATATCATACCTAAGTTAACGTATCCTCAATAACAAATTGGCCATAGCCAGTGATTTTTTGGGGTGCCTTTTACTATCAGGGGGCCCTTTGTTAACTAGAAGCCCCCCCCCCCTTGCCAAGGCTCTGGCTGCGCCCCTGCATGCTTATGTCGTCCTTAGCCTTGTATGGCTTAGAACGCGATGTTAGGCGCACTACACAAAATCTACTGCAAACTGTGCGCTGGCAGTTGCAGTGGAAAGTCCCTCCTATTGTGCAAAATTTGATATCAGCGTGACCGCGAGCTCCGGTTTGGCACGCTTCTGTGATGGCGATTTCTGTATCTGCCGTGTTCAGTGCCGTACTTTTCTGTTTCCGTGTCTGGTATGATTGTGGTCGTCATGCAACGATGTGTGGGCTTGGCTCACAGCGTATTCTTCGATCAGCCATCCGTTTGGCGAATCCCAGAAGCCAAACAGGTCGATAGCCGCGCCATTATGATGTTCAGCGGGACCCTGTCGGCCCTCGACCGGTCTAGGATGGCTGCGTTATGAAGTATTCCGCAATCACAAAGCAATCAACAGGATGATGCTCTGTACCTTGTCGCGCCTCGCCTGTGTGGCGTGCAGCCTTTCATCGCTGCGCATAAAGCTCGTGAGCGAGGCGAACCCGCGGCTCCAGCCAGCTTATTTCAGCCACACGCCGTCGCGTTGAACCGGGAGTGTTCCGCGCGCTCGGCGCAGAGCCTGCACACGGCCTCAGGACAGCGGCCTTACGCACAGCGCGCGGCCCGCGGCCCGCGGCCCGAGCGCGCTGCCGGCAGATGTGAGACGACTGAGTCCAAGGTTTAAGCGCGCCGCTTAGGCATTCCTTGTGCAGTGGGGCTGTGAGATACTGATGTGTATGCACGCGGTTGCATATTTTCAAACGTGGCCACTTCCCGCTGTTTCGTTACGCTGTGTTGCCTCTCCGACAACTGACGCGTAGTAGCCAGGTGTTTGTGTGTTGAATGTCAGCTGGTGTCAAATAATAATGATAATAACGGTCAATATTGTTATTAAACGTGACTTAAGAACGGACGGAGTAGGGCAGCATGAGAATTAACAAACGTCGCCGTATTTCGGTGTATTTTCTTACATGGATAGTGCATTTCAATCAATTTCGCATCCTTCTGTCCTTTCTACTTCACCGCCATCCATCAAAACGTTCCTCGTTGCAAGCTGTACTTTCCCGTTTCTGGGCTCCATCCCACATCTTTAAGGATTATGGTGACTTCCTCGACCTAGCGTGTTCTCGGCGGTCGTCCACGGCCGGCAGAGCGTCGCCGACTCTGAAGGGGTGCGTCCCCAGCCCTGAAGCGGAGTGTCACCGGCCCTGAAGCGGAGTGTCCTCGGTCCTGAAGCGGAGCGTCCCCAGCCCTGCAGCGGAGCGTCCCCGGCCCTGAAACGGAGCGTCGCCGACTCTGAAGCGAAGTGTCCCCAGCCCTGCAGCGGAGCGTCCCGACCCTGAAACGGGCGTCCCCGGTCCTGAAACGGAGCGTCGCCGACTCTGAGGCGAAGTGTCCCCAGCCCTGCAGCGGAGCGTCCCCGACCCTGAAACAGAGCGTCCCCGGTCCTGAAGCGGGGTGTTCCCGAGCCCTGAAGCCGATACCATGCGGCCCCCGCCGCCGACTGCGAGCAGCCAGCTGGCGGCCGTCACCGCCGGCTCGCGCCGTATCCGGCCGACCGCCCCGGGCGCTGACTGTCGGCCTGGTTTTTAGGGTATACCCTGAGCACGTGACTGGTCAGGTCAACCGAGTCGCATTGGTCCGGTGAAACCGGTCAGGCGAAAGTTCCCTGCGGCGGGAATTGAGCCCGTGCCTCCCACTCCAGCACTGGAATCCCGAGCTAGGGAGTCCGGACCACGGAATCACCGGGCTACGGAGCCCACGCCATGGAGCAACCGGTCTAGGGAGTCCGGACCACGGAATCACCGGGCTACGGAGCCCACGCCAGGGAACAATCGGTCTAGGGAGCCCGGACCACGGAACCACCGGTCTAGGGAGCCCGGACCACGGAACCACCGGTCTAGGGAGCCCAGACCACGGAACCACCGGGCTAGGGAGCCCAGACCACGGAACCACCGGGTTAGGGAGTCCAAGCTATTGAACCGCTGGGCTGGGGAGTCCGAGCCATGAAACCAGCGCGCTAGGGAGTCGGGACCATGGAGCCACCGTGATTGGAAGTCCGGACAATGGAGCCACCGGAAGCCCGAGCCGTGGGCGGGAGCTGCCCCGCAGAGCGTCACAGTTCTCTGCAGCACTGTGCAGCGGTGACCTCTGTATTGGTGCTGCAGTGGCGTGGCGATGAGCTCCGCTGCCAACAGCAGGGGCTCGCGCCGTGCGCCGTCCGCCTGCCGCCGCCGCCCGCTGCCGGCCTTGGTCCGGGGTCGGCACCGGTGCGACCCGTGTCCCGCCTGACAGCGGGAGCCGTGTAGAGCACGGCCGCGCGTGCGGCTCAGCGAGGGACGCCGCACGTGTCGGCACCCGCACTGGGGTTAGGGGTCGCTGGGGGCGGCTCTGATGACCTGCGGTATCGACGCTGGCGGTGGGCTCCCAGGCGGCACCGCCGTGCACCGCCGCCGTGCTTCTGCGGCACAGATGCGGCTGCCAGGAGGCGGATGTCTGCTGCAAATTGTACGCGCACGCTGCACAACACCATGTTTCACACACACACACACACACATACACACACACACACACACACACACACACACACACACACACACACACACACACACCACACACACACACACACACACACACACCACACACACACACACACACACACACGCACGCACGCACGCACGCACGCACGCACGCACGCACTCACGCACGCACGCACGCCGCACGCACGCACGCACGCACGCACGCACGCACGCACGCACGCACGCACGCACGCACGCACGCACGCACGCACGCACGCACGCACGCACGCCGCACGCACGCACGCACGCACACGCACGCACACGTGACCACAAACTTGACGCCAACTCGTTGCCTAACAGCATGGAGTGTACGCGCTGACGCAAGTGCGACAATGGCAATACCATTCGTTGACAGCGTGTTCGCGCTATCAGCCGTTAGGTGGGAGATCACATAGCATGTCTTACCATTTTTCATGATGTTGGAAATCCATTCCGCCATTGTTCAAATCCTACCAATTTTATATTTAATAAGCGGCTTTTAATGGTGGTACTGTAGCCAAGCAGAGAACATGTCCATCTGGATTGGTAAGTATCCGTTTTTTGAAAGTTACCGGTGTAGAGCTTCCCACTGCATGCGATGGAAAGCGATTCAAAATTGAAATGTCTTGGCTGTAAATGCTGTTACCGGAAACTGAACTGATCCAGTTTCAAGAGCTCTTACACAACGCCCTTTTTCCTATCCCTATTTGTATTCCTATTGGGTCTGCATTAATAGATTTCCTGTTCCAACTTTTAGACTGTTGATATCAATCTAACTCGAAGCAACATCTATCACATCCTCTGCAGCGGCTATGACACAGTAACTGAAAGCACAAACAAGCCAATCCATCAATAAAATCCCTTCTTTTCAGCGCTTTCGCCATTTCAGTAGCGCTAAGTTGCTGTTTTCTTTGATGATTATTTATTCTTCCCATAATACGCAAACGTGTACACAGCATTGTAAATGGGGTTTGACGTACACACAGTACAGGTTGTATCACCACCTTGCCCCTGTACGTGACTTTCGCAGTTACGCGTCGAGCGCGGATGTGCCACTGGCACCTGAAGGCCTTATCGAATACGCCAACGGCATCGGCGCCGCAGCCCTTGACGCTACCAAATCCGTCTGAGGCACGGACCAGCCATCGCGGACCCGATTTCAAACGGCTTGCCCAGCCGCGAGGCCCGGTGCCGTGGGTGGAGCCCTGCTGGGAGCAGCAGCCGCGGACCGGCCCCGGCTGGTGCCGGCGCGGCTGCGAGCAGCGTGCGGAGCGCGGGAGCGGCGGCGCTCGTCGCTTCGGCCGGCCTCGCTCCGTCAATGCCGACTGCACGTCCCAACGACGCGCGAGCTTCCGAAACGCCAGGGGGTGAGGTTCGGGTCACCGGAGGCAGCGCCCACGCGCGTGGTGCACGGCCGCCGATGCGAAGCCCTGGTCGTGCCGAGCCGTCCCAGCTGCGTGCTGCGAGGGGGCGTGGGACGACGGCCACACCCCGTGTCACCGGGATCTTCAGGGAGCGGACCGGGGGAGGACGGCCGGTCGGGTTGCGGGCTGCCGTCTGTCTCCCCGGCCGGCTCCCACCGGTGCCAGCGCGTGGGACTGCTTCAACAGCGCTCCGCACGGCTGCTCGCGGCCTGGGCAGCTGCTGGGGGCAAGCCGTTTGCGGTTTTCTGGCTGTTGCAGAGGCGCCAGAGCGGGCGCCAGCGCCAGGGCTTAGTAATGCATCCGGGTACGGGAGCCCACATCGTGCTGCTTAAAACGAGGGCGTGGTTTTCACAGACGCGTTTGTGTCCTTTTCGCTTTTGATGCACTAGCCGCGCGAACTTTCAACGTACGGGCGTGATCTGCTTGTAGCCGCACATCGCTTGTCAGGGTATTCCGGCATATTAAACAAAATTATCCCTTCTCCTGTTTCATTTAGGGCGCTTTTTCGGCGTGGTGACCATAAATCGAGGTGTGTGAACTGTGCCTACTGAAAGGAATTGACCTTGAAAGCCTCAGATACTTCAGAGGGTTTTAGGCGTAGACGAAGCAAACTAACGGCAACTGAATGCTGCGTTTACCACCATTCTCCGGATACCGGCTCCCACATGCCATCTTCGTTTTCAGCTGGCAATGTGTTTTCTGTGACAGCCACGAACAACGGGCCTTGACTCGGTCATATTTCATACAGCTCCGATATAAGAACATTGTGCTTAACGTTCACTGGTGCCCGGTAGCGAGCTGCCGCGACAAGTCAGAACACGCCCATGGAATACCAGCGTCCGTTGTGCGGCCCGTTTTCAGACATCTCGCATCAGTTCTCCGAGTTCATGGGGGCGATGGAGACGGCTGTGCGGGACCTAGCGAAGTCCGAGAACGACATCCACGCGGAGCTGCTGCAGCAGGTGGCGCAGTCGAGGCAGGTGAGGCCGGCGTCGGCGCCTCTCGCGGTCGCCGGCCACCGCCAGACACCGGCGGAGGCCGTGGGTTCTCCGTGCCGCGGGGCTTCCGTGCCGCGGGGCCTCCGTGCCGCGGGGCCTCCGCGCCGCGGACGGGAGCTGAGCGTCGCTGTACCCGCGGCTCGTGCACTGCCGCCGGTCAGGTGAGGTGCTGTCATGAGGTGTGACGGGACGTCGTGACAAGGGTGTGGACCGGCGGCCCCGTAGAGGCGGCCGCGTTAAGCCTGGCCTCGGTGGGATTATTGTTGGAATTGGACGATAGCTTTTGTAATTGTGATGATACTCGACGTTTCCAAGCCAGTGTTCATGGCCATGAGAGATAATACAGATCCTGTAAATCACGTAATTTTCTCAAACGAAATCCTACGGAAGATGTTAACGGAGCTGCAGCAGTTGCTATGCATCACTGGCGACCGTAAGCGCTGTCTTTTAACGCCGAGCATTTTCGTAATATATGCTATTGTTTTTTTTATATCGTTTGAGCATGACCTCCCGGAATGTCGGTTATTGCCGCATCTAGGGGTTGAGATGTGTTGTTATCCCTTACCGATTTGCAGACGGTAGGCTGACCTGCACCATACGGCTGGCTTCACTCGTGCACCTGTTTTGGCTGTCGAGATTTATCAGCTCTTAGCAAGCAGCGGGAGCAGCCACGGCTCGCGCACAATTGCATGCGATAGCCAACGGCCGTTTAGTATTATCCGTCCGTGGGCATAAATAAGCCCGCCGTCGTGAGGCCTGCGGCCGATATTTGGACCTAGTTTCGATCAGCGTCCGCCAGCTCGTTCGTGATCGGAAATTTTACGTTGCCCATATTAATCGAATGGAGAGTAAAAATCGTGGCGATGTTACGCCATGAAACAAGCATTACACCTGATCAAAGTTGTGTGCCTTTTTAAGTGCCCGGACAATATCACAGTCTAACTTCTCAATAGTTTTACCAGAGCTTACTGAGAAGTGTCTAGCGCTACGGTCAGTGGTTGCAAAGATAAGCTTGTGTGTCGGGTGTGTCGGGTCGCTGGAGCCACCGAATTCCGGGTCGTTGACGTTAAGACTCGCTCCGCCGGCAGCGGCGCTCATGATGACCGCTACGGGATGCAGCGCGTGGCTGGATGAAAATAGCAGTTCGGGCACGTCTTGATGTGACCTCTACGAACATATCGAGCATAGTTCTGTCATGAGACTCCCAGAGTCGTTCATGGAGATGCTGAGCATGTTTGGGGAGAAGGCTCCCACATCATGTCATGATATCCAATTGTTGGCAAAGCAATTCACGCAAAAAGGTAAATCCATTGCCTAACGAGGCTCGGAAAATATGAGCGTTTAAATACTTCGCGTAGTGTCAGCGACAAATTTTGCGGCGAAAATTTTCTTTACGCTACAGTGTAATAAATATTTGCTGATTCCTGTGGGCTGGGCGCATATGCTCGGGCGTTGGCTGTATCCACTAGTTGATGAGTTGTTGTCAAGCAGTGTTATTCTGTAGTTTCTCCGCTGTTTGTAAAGAAACCATTTAATATTGTGAGTCACAGCGAAAACTGCATGTCGTTTTGGAGTCACCCCTGGCTCGGGCCATGATACTAAACGCTTATACGCGTGGAAACGTTCCTAAACGCCCTACAGTTTGTCCACGTGGAAGTTTGTCCGCGTGTCGTGCCTGGTAGAACAATCGGGCCTTGCGACACGTTTAGCTTTCGCCGCAAAATTTGTCGCTGACCCGGCTTTTGCGACCGAGGGGTGAGGTGAGGGCTCACGCAACAAGCACTGCTAAGCTGGGACGCTGATCCCACAAATCCATTCAGTCAAGGGGGCCGGACAAAATCTGTAGAAGGGTGAATGAACAAACTGTGGCAGGTCAAGGCAGTCTGTATGATATGCCGAGGCATCCCCGTAAGGTTATGTTTACGAACCTTTGCATGTTTGATGCTCATTTACGTGAACATCCAAGTCAGCTTTGGCATGAAATATATTCTGAGATTGCCAAATTCGGCGCTGGTGTTTCAGAGTATGTCTCATAGGCTGTGGCGAGCGATTACGGGATTGACTCCGCGGTGGTATAAACTCCCCACATTTGCTTGGGCGATGTTTGCCACTTTATTTGCCAGCGAACTATACGGCGGGGGTCGTCCGGTATGTGGTATGTGGCATGTGGTATCTCGGTCGTTTAGTGCTAACGGTCACGCGCAAAAAGCCGTACCCCGGTGTTGTAAGTCTGGACAGCCGCACCCCTTTTCACTGACGAATGGTTTCAATCGGAGCAACACCATCCATCAGTAGTTCTTATGCTCAACGATGCGCTGTGCGTCGTTCCCGTATCTGGCGCGTTGTTGTATTCGATGAATCGCAGCAGATTTTTTGCTGCTCTACGTGTACAAAACGGCACGACGATACGAATCCGACGGGCCATCCATCTTTGGTCACAGCCGGCCCGCTAACAGACCCCTGAAGCTCGTCCATGGCGAGACAAACGACTAAAACAACTGGTGCTGCTTCCGGGCCGGGCAGAAGTCGATTTGTAGCTGGATCAAGCCCGGTTATTTATTCTCGCCGGCGCCGGGTGGCTCGTCGCCAACATCCACCGATCCGCCAAGACAGGCGGTGCGGCCGCCGTCCTCCACGACACATGAACACACAGGCTGTCTGCCGGCGAGCCGACCCGGCCCAAATGCATCGACCCGCTCATCAATCGCGCCGGGCGAAGTCGCTGCTCGTTAGCCGGCCGGCTGCAGCACTGTCCGGGCCTGGTGCGATTAGTTGAATCAGGCCCGCCAGCGCGCCGACTAGGAGCGGCGACCGCCGGCCGGCGCCGGCGAGCACGCAATCTCACCGCTCAAGCCCACCCGATTTACAGGCTCCGTATTTCCCCGGCAGCCGGTCGAGTTAACCGAAGTGTTCCGCCCGAGAACGCGGCGGAATTATCTGATTCCTGGCGCGGCCCGATACCGGGACCGTCGCGCGGCGCCGGGGAGCGCCGGGGCCCGTGGCACCGCGCCGGCAGGCCGCGCCGCTGGAAATAGCCTGTCGCGGTTTGTCATCGACACGTGATTTGTGTCGCGCGGCCCTCCATCCCGCTGGTGTCGCCGTTCCGGCCGTTTGCTCGCCGTCGGCAGCTGGGCTGCCGGTTTGAGGCTTTCTGGGGGTGTCGGCGCCAACGAGTCTGCACGTGCTCTGGCGAGGCGGATGGAATGCGGGTCCGGGCGTCGCTTCTCAAAGCGTTTGAAGCTGTACAGGCTGCACACGAGACACGCGGCACTGGTCTGAAGTCTCTCGCCGCAAACATGATGAAAATACTACACTAGTGATTTTCAATGCCGGTGGACCGCTTGGGCTATTCCCGCGCACTGCTCAGGTGGGAGTGATCCAAAGCATTCAGCCCCGCAGTGTGCATGGCAGCTTCTGGAAGACCTCACCCGCGTTTGCGGCATGACCGCCGAGCCTGCTGGTTTCGACTGATGGCCGCTGCTCTCAGCGAAGGTTGCCGTGTCGTTGGGGGCGGCCTGAAGCCGCCGCAGCCAGCCGCCGTGGAGGTAGGCCGGCCCGCTGTACACCCGAAGCCTGACGCGGCGCCTCGTCAGGGGTGGCGTGCAGGGGAGGGGGTGCTGGGTGGAGACCGCGCGGCGAATTATGTGCGCGCCGGAGTGTCGCGCGCGGCAGCACGGCATGGGCGGGTCCGAGCCCACCCGCGACCACCCGTCTCGGTACGGCCATAGCGGTCAGCCGAGCGGCACGGCACGACGGGCGGCGCGGCGCGGCCACGTGCGGCCCGCCGCGTGACGAGAGCTGGTGTCCGGGGCAGCGGTCCTCCGCCACAGCACGGCCGGTGCTGGGCTGTCACAAGCTGGAGATGACCCCGGCTGCCGGCGGTCACGGGCCGGCGGCACGGCGGCGCAGACCGTTTCCAGAAGCAGGACGGGAGGGGCAGAGTGGACACTGTACCCAGCATTCGCCGGGTCGGCGGCCGGCTCTGCTGGGGTTGCGACCGGCTCTGCTGGGGCTGCGGCCGGCTCTGCTGGGGTTGCGACCGGCTCTGCTGGGGCTGCGTCCGGTTCTGCTGGGGCTGCGCCCGGCTCTTCTGGGGTTGCGGCCGGCTCTGCTGGGGTTGCGGCCGGCTCGCAGTCGCATCTGCTCCAGGTGCGGCGTCTGTTCGGCGTGGAGTCGTCACCGGCGGCGTGCGCCTGCGATGTGCGGCCGCACGCGTCTGAGGAGCCGCTGGGGCGAGCCGTGACGAGCAGTGGAACTACAACGGAACAATAACGGAACTACAACGGAATTACAACGGAACAGCTGAACTGGTCGGTGGCTGCGCGGTACCGCTCAATGATCTTTGTCTCTTGGTGGCGGATGCGGCTCGGCCATGTTGTATTCAGACGCGTCGGACGCCAGGCGGACAGTGCAGCAGGCGGCGGAGGTCTGTTTGAAGTGCACACTTTGAGTGGTCTGCGTGGGAAGAGGAACGCGAAACAGTGCGATTTGATTGCAGCCGTTACCCCCGCTGGTGCGGGAGTTTTCAATGGGCTGGAATCCGCGCGATACGCGTGGCTGGCTAATCTGGTGCATGGCGCTCGTTCCCGGTTTATTTCTGTCGCCGTGGGTGGTGTGCTAGTGGTCGTATATTCCTGGCCATTAGGACCCACCATCGTCCGATGTGCAGGCGTCGTGGCAATACTTGATGGCCGAACGTGTCGGCTGTCGCTGAAACAGTGACGGCGGCGCGTCTTAAGCCGGATCAGAGCTGCAATCTGGCACGACTGTAACGAGAATCGTTAGGCTATCGAGCGGCCCGTGCCTATGCTCAGGTCATTAGCGTCACACCGTCCCGGACGGTTTTAGCGTTGGCAGGAGGGGGACGGTGAAATACAGAGACCAAATATTACTAGGGCCGCTGCCTGCGAGCTCGTAGGTCCCCAAAGCACGTGCTTTGAAAAGCCCGCAGGTCTGTTAGCGAGTATGCTGCAGGTTTATGA